AAGTGGCCTCCGTGCCTAGACCTGCTGTAGGTGTCATGATGTGACTGCATCATGTTTTATCAATTGCTCAAATCGTTGTAGTAGCAACAACTAGCGTTTGTTTTGGACTCTACAGTTTGCAAATCATGTTCACGCCCATTATTTCCTTTGATCTTAACAACATTCCTGTGAGGTTTGCAGCCACGTACAGGACTGAGACCTTCAACTCCCCCATCTCTACAGCTTCAGTCCTGGAGGTCTTTGAAGTTTTGTCATTACAGCGTTGTGACCAGGCCAAAGGACTGTACTCTTTTTCTTCTCCCCTCTCATGTATACTAGCCTCCTTTTCCTGAAGGAGTTCTCTCCACAGACCTTCTGCTTCTTTTCAGGTCATAGGACTCTGTACGTGGGGGTCCGGATGCCGCTGGGCCGGCAGAGCCATCGGCACCACCGAACCCATGGCCAGAAGCATCGGAGACGAGGGCGGGGCAAGGGAGCCAGCCAGGGGGAGGAAGGCCCCGAGGCCCTGGCCCATGGTAACACCTTGGGAGGGAGGGCGGGTGGGTGTCCACGCGGGGAGGCCTGGTGAGGCCGAAGGGGTGTGGGATGGACGTGGAGCAGGGGGTGGGCTTGACTCTCTTCCATAGACTTTCCCCAGCTTGCTTCCAGGAAGAAGAAATGCCTCTGAGAATCAAAAGTATCTTCCTGAAAACTTCACAGTTCAGGCCCCCCCAAATCAATATCATAGAAGGTGAAATCATTTGCTAGAGAATTAGCCATTCTTTTTGATCAAATTCATCAGATTTCTAGTTTCTCACGGGTTTCCTTCAAATGGTCTTATTAATAATTTTTTTCCTCCTATGAAACTGCTTCCAAAGCATAGCTTTTTTTCTGGGAATAAAGAAATCTTTTTGACCGGAGTTCAGGATTATCTTGTGTATGTTCCTGAAGTTGTGAGGCCCCCCAGGTGCGCTGAGTGTGGCAGGATGCTATTTCTGTTGTAAGCTGAGGCTGGGAGCAGACCTTTCTCCGTGGCTGATTTTCCAGACACGCCATCTCAGCGTGTTCAGTTCATTCTTGGCACTGAGGAGGACGAAGAGCATGTGCCTCACGAGCTGTTCACAGAACTGGATGAGATCTGCCTGAAAGAGGGAGAAGATGCCGAGTGGAAGGAGACAGCCAGGTGAGACCTTAAGATCGCCTGGGCCCGGATTCGCTTGGGCAGACAAATGTGTGCCTTTCCGTGAGTGACAGGCCTGCCTGCCTTTTATTTCTTCACGGGAGACATGATGACTGACACAGGGACTGACGTTCTAGGGTCCTCTGGGGGAAGCCTTGATGCTGGCCTCTTGGTCACGTCTGTGGTAATACCTATGTCAGTTGACCTTGAGCCCGGGATTGGTGACGGAAACACAGAACGTTAAGGGGGTCCTCGCTTACTAGCTCCTGGGCTCTTGACATTAAAGGTCTGGCTTATAAGATGCCTGAGGGGGCCGCCTTGGTCTAGACCTCGCCCAGCAGACATAGCGTAGGTCCAGCCTTTTCCTGCGCATGAACCATAGCATCATTTGGGTTTTAATTCACTGGAAATTCCAGAATTTTTGAGACATCCTATTGGACAGTCCAACTTCACAGACACCTTTGGGATTATAGCCAGCCCGACAGTAGGCCTCCCTGGATTAGTTGTAGAGTGACTACGCTTGTCTAAGGCCCAAACCCCAGAAGAGCCCTCAGATTGACCAGGGCCATGTCTAGAGCTCCTGCAGTGACTGACAAGTGAGGCTTCTGGGTGATACAAAGCCGGTGTGCCTGAGCCTTGGGGAAGAAGGTAAGGTGGGTAACCAGCGAAGCGTGGCTCCGCCTCTCATTGGAACAGTGCTTCCTGGATACCTGCTGTATCCGTGGGTGTGTTTCCTGGGTAGAGAGGATTAAACAGGCCAGTCAGCCTGGTGCCAAGCAAGGAGGGAATTAGCCTTGTCATTCTGTCTTTGCCAACATCTGAAAGTCACACAGATAGGCTTTTTATTTTTTTAATTAATTAATTTATTTATGGCTGCGTTGTGTCTTCACTGCTGCGCGCTGGCCTTCTCTAGTTGTGGCAAGCAAGGGTTACTCTTCGTCGCGGTGCAAGGACTTCTCGTTGCGGTGGTGTCTCTTGTTGTGGAGCACGGGCTGTAGGCGCGTGGGCTTCAGTAGTTGCGGCTCGCGGGCTCTAGAGCACAGGTTCAGTAGTTGTGGCGCATGGGCTTAGTTGCTCCGCGGCATGTGGGATCTTCCCGGACCAGCGCTCGAACCCGTGCCCCCTGCATTGACAGGCGGATTCTTAACCACTGCGGCACCAGGGAAGTCCCAGATAGGCTTTTTAAAAAAATAAATATATCATTTTATTAATGTGATTTGTCAACGTATCCAGATGATATAGATTAGATCTGTTATTTTTTTAATTGCATAGGCAATGCATGCTCACTAGAGAAAATTAGAAAATAAAGATAAGCAAAAAGAAGACGAACGTTACGTGAAATCCTACCAAGCCAGGGATAATGAGGGATATAACATTTGATGTCTTATACATGTATGTGTTTGTATTTTAAAATTTTTCTTTAAAGAAAAATGGAATCAGTTTTGCACTGTTTTATAACCTACTTTGTTCACTTACAAGTGTACCCTGAACGTATAGATTAGATTACAGTGTTCAATATGATTATTTGGGTATCTTTCTTTGTGGCTTACGTTAAAAACTCTCTCCTGAAAATTCCTCATTTTCTGTCTTTAACATCTGGTTGTTTGTAATGCTTCCAGGTGGTTGAAGTTTGAAGAAGATGTTGAGGATGGGGGAGAGCGCTGGAGCAAGCCTTACGTTGCAACCCTTTCACTGCACAGTCTCTTTGAGCTAAGGAGCTGCCTTATTAACGGAACGGTCCTTCTCGATATGCATGCAAACAGCATAGAAGAAATCTCAGGTAAGTTTAGGTGAGAGAAAACAGAGGAATGTTTGTGTCAATTAGGAAGAGTGGTGTAGAGGAAAGAAGAAAGTGGCTGTGTGTCCTTGGGCAAGTCACTTACCTTCCCGACCTCAGCGCCCTCAGCTATGGGATGGGTTTCAAACTAAGAAACTACCCTACCTATTCCACAGGCTTATTATGGGATACAAATGACATGGTGTGAAGTCTTCCATTTGCCTGTTCATTTGGCAGACGTTTATTTTGTATCTATTAATGCTTGATAATGTGCTAGGCACAGGGGAATGAAGATAAGATACAATTTCTGTCCTCAAGGAGCTCCCCTTCTAGTGGGGAAAATAGCCATGGGTGCAAGAAAAGAGCTCTGGTTTGGTAATAGAGAAAGGGGCAACTGGGAGTTGTGCAGAGAAAAGGGGGTTAGAGTGAAAGAAAGATTTTAAAATATGGCAGCTAGGGAAGACACGTATGAAGTTGAGCCAGAGTACCCCCACTTCTTCAGCAAGACATGAAGGGGAGATGTCTGATGGAGTTGCCTGGTACAGGTGAGTGTAAGTTACTATGTTTTAGGAATGGAGTTTGATAAACACCTGGGTGCATGTGAGGATTTTCCTCAGCTTGGCTTTGTTTGGCTGGACAGGTTACATAAAGATTTCTCCAAACTTTTCTCCATTTCAAGTATCCAAGTAATTCTGCCTCTCTGGGATCACATGGGGACCCAGGGAGGGGTCAGTACTGATGGGATCTGGTGTCACCTCCGAAGGCCCTAAGGGAAAGTTATTCCATGCTTCTTCCAGTTTCTAGTGGCTCTAGGTGTCCCTTAGCTCACGAGTGCATAACTCCAATCTGCCTCTGTCTTCACCTGGACTTCTTATCTGTGTCTCTCTCATAAGGATATCTGTCAGTATCATCCAAGATGCTCTCATCCTGAGATCCTTAGTTACATCTGGGAAGACCCTTTCCACAAATAAGATCACGCTCACAGATTCTGGGGGGTTAGTACATAGACGTATCTTTTGTGGGGGAGGCGCCGTTCTACCCCCTACGGAAGCCAAGAGAGGAGAGAGTTTCAATTCATCAGTGTCAGATGCTGTAGAGAGGTCAGGTTAGGTAAGGACCAGAGACATCTGCCAGATTTAGCAACTGGAAGGTTGTTGATGATTTTATTAAAAGCAATTTCATTGAGGCAGCCAAATTGCAGGGGGTGAGGAATTTTTCTTTTGAGAACTTTAAGAGATAGGGGAGAGAGAGAGAGAGAAAGAGAAAGAGAGGGAGAGAGGAGGCAGTAGATAATGGGAGACCTGGGGTGGACATTCTCCTTCTTTTTTTTTTTTTTTCCCAAGATGAAGGATCCTGAAACATGTTTATAATATGGGGCAAGGAACCAATCAATATAAAGGTTAAAGATAGAGAAACCTGGATCTTCCACTTAATATTTGAAACAGATTTTCTTTATTTATTGCTTCCAGCACTTGGATAGTCATGGATGGAGTTGGAGTTGAAGATAGGTTGGAGTTTTGGGGAGGTGGGGGAATGGGTATGTAGGGTTGAAGTAGAACTGCTGTGGTTCTTCCCATCAGGTACCTGAGGTATTCGTGTTAGTGATAAGGATGAGTAAACAGTCTCAAGTGTTTACTGTGAATGAGCACTTTATACATCTCATTAATTTTTTATAACAGTCTTCTAAGGTAGGTGATAATATTAGCTCCATATTACAGATGAAGAAACTGAGGTACAGAGAGGTTATCACACAGAAAGTGGTAGAAGTGGGATAACTGTGGACCTTTAGCGCTAGAACCCATGCTGTTAACTGCTGTGCTGACTGCCTCTCAGTAGCAGGTATTGGGATTTTTCCCCCCTCAGTTCTGCCAGGCTTGGCAGGTAAAGGTTGATGCTTGGTGGTAATCACGTGGGGTACTTAATCAAGAACAGCTTAATGATTCTTGGAAGTTCCACTTTTACATAGTCATTTGGAGTTCTACAGTTATAGTTTCTCTTGACAATCACAGCAATGTTAAAATCTCTGAGAAAGGGAACGTAGAGGAACTTTGGCAGATGACAGAACAAAATGGTAATAATGTGGATTTTTGAGTCAGACAGTCTTGGGTTTGACTCCCAGCTGTGCAACTTACTAGATGTGAAACCTTGGGGAATTTTGTAATGTTCGGGCCTCAGTTTCCTGATCTGTAAAAATTGTTATAATGCCACCTAGTTCTCAGGGTTTTTTATAAGGATTAGATTAGATAATTATGTAAAAAGTTCAGAGTGTCGTTCCTGGCACATGTTAAATGCTCAATAGTTTCCATTTCTAATAATAATGATTTGTTACATGAATAACGTATAATGTGTCACAGCTGCTATCATCAAACAGCTCTTTCAGGCACTGAAGCGGAGACTGTACATCACTGACCCTGGTAGAACTGCCTCTCCTACTCCTTGTCCCTTGCCCCTCACCCCACTTGACCTTGGTCTCTTTGGGTTCACTGACCATCAGTTTGAGTGTTCATGTTAGCACCTGCTTTCCAGACCTGATCCTGGACCAGCAGGAACTGTTCAGTGACCTGAATGACAGCATGAGGGTTAAAGTACGGGAAGCCCTTCTCAAAAAGCATCATCATCAGAATGAAAAGAAGAGAAATAACCTCATCCCCATTGTTCGCTCCTTTGCTGAGGTTGGCAAGAAACAGTCTGATCCACATTCAATGGATAAACATGGTAAGATTATTAGGAGTAACTGTTTTCTCTTTTGATTAATAAGACATTTAGGAACTAGTTGGAGATGCTAAGTTACTAGAGGGTAGGGGCTGTATTTCTCTAATATGCTTTCATGCTCACTTAGACACAGTCCTTTTTGGTGGATAGGCACGATGGGTGGCTGGGGCTGGTGACGGTCATCTCTTGTGGCACTAGGGATGCATGCCTCAGATAGATCTCAGTGGACCCCGGCGGAGAAGATGGTGCCCCAGAATGGCCTCAGAACTGATGTGGCTTTGGGGAGGTAGCCACATTAGGGATAATTCGGGGCCAGAGAAGTTCCACTGGAGCTTTTTAGAAGTAAACCAATGTCTTAGATTAGGGAGGCAAAATGCAGTAGTGTCAACTCTTGAGTCAGATGTCCCGGCTGGAGATTCTGACTTCACCTTTTGCAAAGTGTGTGACCTTGGGCAACCTCCGAAACCTCTTTAAGTCTTACTTTCTCTTCTGTAGAATAAGGATAATAGTGAGATCTGCTTCCTCAGTCTACAGTGAGGCTTCAATAAATTAATCCATGTAAAGCCCTGGAGCCAGGTGCCTGGTGGGTTGTAAACATTCAGTGAATTTCAGCTGCTGACTAGTTTCCTTTTCTGAGGCCGAATCTATGCTGGTCTCCTTGTCCCCACATTTACTGAATCACAGTGTGCAGGGGATGTGCCTGGGAGTCTAAGTTTTTGAAAAGTTCTCCCTAGGACTTTATGGTGTGCACTCCTGGTTAAGGATTACTGCCTTTAATAGAGGAAGAAAAGAGGATCACAGATGGTTCAGGAAGAGGGTGCAGGAGTAGGAAGACCTCTGTTCCTCCCTTTACTGCTAACTGGTAGGTAAGGAGATAGGTGTGTGTGGGTCCTTGCTTCATAGTCATTTGGACCACTTCTCTGTGTGGACTTTGCAGGAGATAGTCATAGCCAGCTGATGATGGACGGGGCGTGTCAAAGGGGGAAAGGGCAGGACTCGGAGAATTCTGTTTGATTTTCTCCAAATAGGTCAGACTGTGTCTCCTCAGTCCGTTCCAACTACAAGTCTTGAAGTAAAAAATGGAATGAATTGTGAACACAGTCCCGTGGACTTAAGCAAGGTGAGCAGAGACGTGGAAGTTGGCTTACAGGCCTAAGCAGATCTCTAGTGGAACCCAGAGTCTCATTGCTGGAAGCTGGATAAGCTTTGGCATTTCAACACCCTTTCTCCAGGACCAGAGTCCCTTCTGCAGAAAAGGAGGCCCATCTATCTGCTCATGTCTTCTTCCTTCTCCAGCCCAGACCTCTCTGACTCATCAGCTTGTTCCCCAGATTCAACATGCTGAAACCCACTAGCCACTAATAATCCTCCCTGCCACACACCTCCTGGTGTTTCAGAACTATTTTCTGATACCTGCTCTCCAGTAGCTCCTTCTTAGCCTCCAAGGGTTCTGCAGAAGCAGTATCTTTGCTACTGTCTCCTAAAACTACTTTGTGGTTGAAACTCTTCTTGGGGACTGTGGCTTGGTGTCCGAGGCCTCCCGCAGGAGCAGGGCCCCCTGCAGCTTCCGGCTCAAACCGTGATCTCCCTGCCGCCAGCCTCTCCTTGCTCTGGTCTCTCCCCGACGCTGTCCTTCCAAAATGCGGACAGTGTCACGTCACTTCTCAGCTCATAAGGCTCCCTGAAACCTCCGACAAAGCATTCCAGTATTTTAAAATGGAAACAATTTGACCTGGAGCTTCAAAAACATTCTTCTTTGGGGAGGCATGGTGTAATGGAATTCAAATCAGAGCCCCTGGATTTAAATTCTCTTAGAAGCTCTGTCGTCCTGGGCAAGTCAACTTCACTTCTCTGGGTCTCAGTGGCTCCATTCATTTTTTAAAATAAAAAGTGAGGCTAATTAGACCTTACAGAGCTATTGTAAGGATCAAGTGAAGTAGTATGAGAAAACGTGTTAAATCAAAAATGATTTATGAATGTCAGTTATGAGGAGGGTGATGGATGCGTGAGGTGATGGCTCCCACACTGTCAGGGGGTTCTTGGATTTTCAGGTCGACCTTCATTTCATGAAGAAAATTCCCAGTGGGGCAGAGGCCTCGAATGTCCTGGTTGGAGAGGTGGACTCTCTGGGCCGCCCCGTTGTCGCCTTTGTGAGGCTGTCTCCGGCAGTCCTTCTCTCGGGCCTGACAGAAGTGCCCATCCCAACAAGGTAAAGACCTGGACCGCAAATCTCAGTGCGTTCCGTCTGGTGTGCAGGTTTGTGTGTGCTCTGGTGGAAGAAACCAGCTAATGCCAAAATGGAGGATTCATTGATTTGGGGAATGCTGTTTAAAATTCAGCAATGATCTCAGAAAACTGGGGTATATTTGATCAACCTCTGTGCGGAAGAATTGTAAGACTTTTAAGGCTCTGACGGTTCAGTTTCTATGACCTTGGAAATGGAGAACCAAAGAGTGTTCAAGGGCCACTTGCTTGCTGGGATGGGAAGCCTGTCTTGCTCTCCCTGTTCTGCCAAGCTGTATCCCAGGGAAACGTCTCTGACCAAAGGTATTGATGTCTCTTTCCACAGTTCCGGCAGGATTTGTTTGGTTTGCAAGTATGTCCACATTTGTTCAAAAGGCTATTCATGCGCTCTGAAGGTGGTGATTCAGGTGATTCAGGGCCCCATTAATTACAGAGTATTCAGATGTCCGGGACACAATTTAGACTCCTCTACAGGGCTTGATCATTTCAACTGCTTTATCCCTCTCCTCTCCCCATCATTTTCTTATTAGAGCAATGAATGAGATTCAGATAACCCTGAATTTGCACTACAATGCCACGTTTTGAAAAAATGTCCTTCCTATAGTAAGGAATTGTGTCTACGGAAACCCTGAGAATTATAATCACATTATTGAATGAGTTGTACAGGTGGCTTCCAATGCCTACAGTGGAGCTATTAGGTCAAGGCTACTCGTATTGCTCCGTCATTAGTCTGTCTCCTTTTATTGAAGGTACTGTGATGATTTCTGTTTGATAGGAAAGAGAAATGTTCTGCTGTTTAGAGAGGAAAGATGCCACTTCTTTATATTTACTTACATAATTTAATCCTTTTTGTGTGTTGCCAGATTTTTGTTTATCCTACTGGGTCCAGTAGGGAAAGGTCAGCAGTACCATGAGATTGGCAGATCCATGGCCACCATCATGACAGATGAGGTACGCACACCCCTTCTGCTTTTCATGCATTCGTCTTGTAAATGTTTATTGAGCATTTACTCTGTGCCAGGCATTGTGCTAGTCATTGGGGATAAAATAATTATAATCGTGATGTTTGCTGGAAAGCAGTACAGGTCACGTCTCTGAGGACCAAGCCCTCTGGGGGATTTTTCTTCCTCTGTCATCTCTCGCTTTTTGAATAATCAAGGATGCAGAGAAATCTTTCTCTGGGAAAATAATTTTTGCCAAGTAGGATACCTAGAGAGAAAGATATTAAGGCTGACTTAACTTTCTAGATCTAGAGGATGGTTAATTAAATACATCCAAGCTATTTACATAAGGAAACCTCACCCCCATTTCACGTAAATGAGACCGGTTAGTATAAAGGTCAGGGGGATGCTCTCGGCATCTGTCATGTGAATGTACCAGGGTGACTAGACGCTTCGGCTGCCGTGGTCCTGAACCCCCACTGCATCCCTGCTGAGGACTGTGCTGCTCAGGTAAGTTGCAAAGTAAGGCCTTGAAGAGGCCTCTGTCTTAGCAGGCAGAGGGGCGTGGGCTGTGTTTTATCAGCTGTCTTTGGCTCGGAGGCATATTGGAGGCATATGAGGAACCTTTCAGAGGAATTCCATGCAGTTTTTTCTACACATTATGATCAGGAAAATTCCTCATGCATCTTGGCTTTTGTTCCATTCTTTCTCATGCATCTTGGCTTTTGTTCCATTCTTTGAAGAGATAACAGAATTATAAAACTTTGGAGTCATCTTATCTCTTTCTATACTAATAGACATATATTTAGTTCTTTTTGACTCATCTCATCTTTAGATTCTTTTTTTTATTGTTTTATCCTTGCACTTCTCTAAGTGCTAACGTTATCTACATTTCAGATCCCCATGACAGAGATAAAAATCAAGAGGTTTTATTCATCTTTCACCATCTCCACTGGTAATTGTTTTAAGTAAAGTGACTTTTAGTTTTCCTGAGGACATTTTTCTTCTCTGTAGATTTTTCATGACGTGGCATATAAGGCGAAAGAGCGGGATGATCTCCTGGCGGGGATTGACGAGTTCCTAGACCAGGTGACGGTGCTGCCTCCAGGGGAGTGGGACCCCTCCATTAGAATTGAGCCACCCAAAAACGTCCCTTCCCAGGTAATGTATGCACATGAGCCAGTGGTGGCTTAGTGTCGCTTACTGAGTGCACACCATGGACAAAGCAGAGACCGTGAGGGTGTATGCTAAATAAGTTGAGATGTGGTTCTGTTTCTGGGCATCTAGCATGTCAGAACAGTAATAAAATATGAATGTGCAGTAACATAGATTGGCTCAGGTGTGGTGAGGCCAGTCAGGATTACCCTGGGATGAATTTTAAGCCAACTTTTGAAGGATTGATGTAGAATGGCGGAGAGGAGAGGAGAGGACATTTCTTGGGAGCATATCATGAATGAAGCCATTAAATGAAAAGAGGTAGTTGTATAGAGAGAGCAAATAGAGTCCCTCACACTTTTTTTGAGAGGTTAAAGATGGAAGGGAACTTCTACTGTACACTAGTCCCCAGGCCAAGTGCTTTACATATGCTAATTCAACCTCCCGGTAACATCTCCATATAGGTATTGTTGTTCTTTGTTTTACAAATGAGGAATAAAAAAACCATCTTCAAGGTTTTAAGGTAAAGATTACACACAGATTTGAAACTTGAACTTAGGTCACATCTGATGCCAAAGCCTCCACTTTTCCGTCTCTGGGTGAGACAGTTAGGTATCAGCAGAGAGGAGGAGAAATTTTTTTTTTTTTTCAGGAAAGTCAGTAAACGCCTCCAAATCAGTAAATGCATTTGAAAGCTATAACAAAGAATTGGCTATTTTGGGGCTGCTTTTGGATTTTCTCATCACCACCCCCCACCCCCACCCCCCACCCCCGCCCCCAGCAGGAAAGACAGAATACAGGGCTGAGTTTGTTAATTTTGCGGTCTTCTGTTAAAAGGAGAAAAGGAAAATGCCTGGAGTTCCAAATGGAAATGTTTGCCACATAGAACCGGAACCACATGGGGGCCACAGCGGGCCAGAACTTCAACGCACTGGGCGGTAAGTTCTGGAATGTTTCACAGCTGATACTGCTTACCGGACAGAAGTTGTATAAAGGAATGAGGCATCCTCTTTACTTTCAGCCTTCTTCTCTGTAGTATCTTTATTGGCTGGGAATTACTTTTCAAATGGAACCACTGACTATAAGTATTACAAATATATCAAATATTATATTCATTCATTCAAATTTCTCAAACCACCTAACATGTTCTGTCTCCCCTCCTGGCCTTGCCCCAGGAGGGAAGACAGAACACGTTCCCTCTGATTTGAACACTTGTCCCCTTCCTCATTTCCTGGCTGACTGCTTCTTATCCTTTGACGCAGCTTAGGTGTCACTTCCTTTGGAGAGCCTTGCAGGACCCTCTTTAGAGGAGGTTAGGTGTTCCTGCTAGGTGGTGTCCCAGCTTTGAGCTCTGTCCCTTGCCTACCTGCCACCCTCCCCCCAGCCACCTGTTATAGTCCTGATCATGCTTTATTACTATTTATTGATTTGATGTCTTTCCTGCCAGAATGTTTGCTCCATAAGGGCAGGGACCCCATTATATTCCTAGCACCCAGCACAGTGCCCTACACAGAGTAGGCACTCAGTTAATATCTGGTGAATGAATGAATGAGTAAATGAATGCTTTTAGAATGATGTCTGTTCTGTAGCATGAATGGACAAGGTATGGATAAATATTGAATGGTTAAGTTAAGAAACCCCTTGAGGTGGGGAAATAGGTACTATTTTAGGTGTGTGTCTCAGAATAGGCAACCTACTCTTTTGGGCCCAGATTTTAGGACAGATGTCCAAGGAGGAGGTTCTCCATGGTAGGTGAGGACAGCAGGTCCCCAGGCTGGGAGGCTTTATGTTCCAGGCAGGGAGGCAGTAGAAGAGGATGGTATTTGGGGTTGGAGTGGCATCCAGAGGTGTCCCCCAGATTGTGGGAGAAGGTTCAGTCTATGGCTCTGGCTCTGTAAGTTGTGCTTATGTCTAAGAAGGATCTGTTGGGCGGAGATTCCCAGGACAGGACTCAGATGATGGAAAGGAGCTTTCACTGTCCTCTATTCTATTGCTTTCACCTTATTTTTTCCTCCTTGCTTGAAGTTGCTTTCCTTATTTCCCTATCCTCAGTGCCCTGCCTAATGGAAACTCAAGGTTGTTTTTTTTTTAATTGTGGAGAGCGATTTAGTTTTGCATTCTTGGAAATTCAGGGAGAGAAAGGAGAGGAGACTGAGAAGCAGGAGAGAATGGCACTTAACCAGCAGTATGCATCTGGTGGAAGGAATGTATTAGAGGGCGGGGAAGGATAACTGGGCTCTGGGGAGGGATCACCGGAGGAAAGGAGGAGCCTTTTGATGGAAGGGGTCACTGAAAAGAGGGAGCAAGCTCCAAGAGTAAGTTTCACATTTTCTTTACAGTTGGAAGGGGTCCAAATTGGATGGGGAGGCCTGGTATTGAGAAGCAGTTCGAAGGAAGCATCTGTCTTTAGAATAGTTTCCAGGATTGAGACTGTCTTAGATGAAGTGGTGTTTTTTTAAAATTTATTTATTTATTTATTTTTGGCTGCGTTGGGTCTTCATTGCTGCGTGTGGGCTTTCTCTACTTGCGGCGAGCGGGGGCTACTCTTCGTTGCAGTGCGCAGGCCTCTCACTGCGGTGGCTTCTCTTGTTGCGGAGCACGGGCTCTAGGTGCGAGGGCTTCAGTAGTTGTGGTTCGCGGACTCTAGAGCACAGGCTCAGTAGTTGTGGCGCATGGGCTTAGTTGCTCCGCGGCATGTGGGATCTTCCCGGACCAGGGCTCGAACCCGTGTCCCCTGCATTAGCAGGCGGATTCTTAACCACTGCACCACCAGGGAAGTCCTAAGGTGGTGGTTTTTTTTTTTTTTTTTGCGGTACGCAGGCCTCTCACTGCTGTGGCCTCTCCTGCTGCGGAGCACAGGCCCCGGACGCGCAGGCTCAGCGGCCATGGCTCACGGGCCCAGCCGCTCCACGGCATGTGGGATCCTCCCGGAACGGGGCCTGAACCCGCGTCCCCTGCATCGGCAGGCGGACACTCAACCACTGCGCCACCAGGGAAGCCCAAGATGGTGTTTTTTAAGGGAAGGGTCTTGGGTTTGGATTTGATAGAATTTCAGAGTTATGATTTATCCTTTTGACTGTAAAGCCAACAGCTTTCCTTCAAACACATAATCCATGCAGAGGTGAGATCTCATCTTTCTTTCGGTGTCAGAAAGAGGAGAATAAACTAGGCGGGCAGTCACTTATAGTCAATTCCACATGGGGGTTTGGGAGCTCATTAGATTGGATCTCAACAGTTATAGAATCTTGGAAATGGTGCCTATCATCCCAAAAGAAAATCCCGTAGAGCCAGGACCGACATACACTTAATCAGCAACCCCAGGTACCTTTACTCACAAACTCAAATGGGGTTTGAGGAAGTTCTCCCATAATGTTGAGTGAGGAGCTGCTGGAATTGACAAAGCTGAAAGGAAGGGTCATCTGGACTCAGAGCCTCACTCGGCTTACTGTGGGAGATGCTGCCTCTTCCTGAGCTCCGGAAGTTTTCCTCAGTCCTCAAGACACATGACCTTCCTCCCCTTGTAGCCTTTTAGTCCAGGTGACCTAATGCTCATATTGGGGATCGTAGTTCATGCCAGCTCTGGCTCTTTTCCCAATCTCAAATTACGTAGGGGTGAACGTGAACCTTCCCCTGCAGGTGGGCATCCTAGAATTTTCTGGACCTTCCTGGACTTCACCGAGTAAAGATGCGTTAGCCTGGGCTTTATAATTCTTCATACCTTTAGCTGTGTTTCTCTGAGGTGGGGCACAACCTGGGGGTACCATCCTTGTCGGATGGAGAGGTATTTAAGATGCGGTAGTGTAGGCTCTAAGAAGATGGGAAAGGAGGCAAAGTTGAGAACGGTCTGAGTTGTGTATGATCTGACCTGCCAAGCCAGGGCTGAGACAGTGTCTTGGGCCTCCCTGATGTTGACATAGGCCATGATGCCAAGGCATTCCCACATAGAACGAAGAGGAAAGTCTGACTAGAGTGTTCCGAGGCCAGAAGCTTCATGGCAGAGAGGATACTGTGCAAAGGGGTTTTCCAAGGTAGATTTGTGTACCTCACTGGGGAGGCCACGTCTGGGAAGGGTTGATGAAAGAGAAGAATCAGGAGCTGCTATCTCGATGATCGCCCCCCACACTTCAAACAGGTTTCTTCCAAAGCACAGCAGACAAATGGATGGCTGGCCTGTCCCTAAAGCCCTCCTGAGAGGGCTTCCTAAGTCAGTGCACCAGAGCCTAGGGACCCTCTACACGGGTAAGTCCTTTCTTGCATCAAGCTTAAATTCATATCCCTGTGTGCCTCCTGCCCATCCCCCCCCACCCCAACTTGAACACCAAGGGTAGTGTTGAAAGGGAAAGGGAGTCCCAAACGTGGAGGGAAGCATCCACGTCTGATTACTATCTGTGCTAGATGTGCTGTTGCGGTCTGCGTGAGTGAGGGATGAGGCTGACGCCATAAACAGTATTCGGAAATCATTCTGTTAATTTATACCATCAATAGGAGCCTCAGATCTTTTCTCTCTCCTTTCAATCACTAGGCAGACAGATGTCCTTCCTTTCTGTGGCTTCTCATCCGTCCGTTTCACATAAATCTTTTGCCCGTTACTCACAGACACTCCTCCCTGAATAATGAGCCTCCCACATCCAGGAGGACCAATCATGGCAGCATCATAGGGTGAGGCTCATTACTGTAGAAGGTAATTCTCCCAGAATAATACCCTTCAGAGGAAGGTCACTGGTGATTGGGAGGTGATACTCACACGGTACTAAAGATGCTATGTTGGCTAAGGACCTAGAAACACTTGAATCTTGCCCCAGACTAATCACGGTTGCCCGTAAGGTCCTTGAGGGGCTATCCACTCAGAGGAGAAAGCAGGACCAAGTGACATTTTATTACAGACTGTAACCTTGGTCCCAAACCCTGAGGCGGAACGCTTATGCTCTAGGTTAGACCCTATGGATGGCTCCTTACCTCAGGTTTGCTAGACAGGCTAAAACCAAAGCAGGTCACAAGGCTGGCTTTGCCTTTCTCCCCTAAACCCAGACCCAGATTGTGATGTTACTGCTGTAAGGTGAAGAAGGATGAATCCCAACTGTGCCCCTCAAACCAGAGGAAAAGAGCAAGTGGGTCTAACAGAACAGCATGTGCTTTTGAATGGAGAAAGAGAGCTGCCTGGGCCTTCTCCCCGGGCATACAGGTCCCAGGCCTTGTGTGACACAGGGCAAAGAGAAAGAAGGAGCTAGCCAAGCCTCCTTTCATGAGAGAGTAGCTCGGTTTTTTGTTTTTGTTTTTTTAGTTTTTTATTATAGAAAATTTCAAACATAAACAAGAAGAGAGGACAGTGTAATGAACCCCCCACGTGACCATCAATAGTTATCAACATTTTGCCAATCTTGTTTCATCTATTTCTCTCCCACTTAATTGTTTTGTTTTTGTTTTCTAGATTATTTTAAACCACATCACCAGTAGCATGTCATTTCCCCTGTAACTACTTGAGCAGGTATCCCTGTCCGATAAGGACATTTTGAAAAATGGCTATTATGCCATTATGAAATCTAACAAAATTAACAATAATTCTTTAAATTGTCTCATGCTCAGTCCATATTCACCTTTTTGTGGTTGTCTTAGCGACATCTTTTTAGAGTTCATTTGTTTGGCATAGGATCCAATGGAGGTTTGCATTTGGTTTTTATGTTCCCATTCTGTAACAGCTCTCCTCCTTTTTCTTCCTATGTCATTCATGTGTAGAAGAAACTAGGTAATTTGTCCTGTAGAACGCTGAATGGCTCTCTTTGTTACTCACCTAACAGCTTTTACCCGGGTGCAGCGATTCCACTCTTAGCAAAAGTGCCCCAGTCTGGGAATACTCCTCCTCCTTGGTGTAGGACACCTTGCTCTCCATCTGTCTCATGCTTGGGAAGTGGAGAGGGGTCCTGAGGTCCTGCCACCAAGTCCTGTTAATTCTGCCTCCTGATTAGCCCTTGAATACACACACTTCTCCTCTTTCCAATCCACAGCCTCCTGTCTTGCCCTACGTTCCACTCATTACACCCCCATCAGAGGGATCCTTCCAGAATGCCTGCTTACTTACGCTGCTTCCCTGTTTACAGTCCTTCAGTACTTGACACATAATTGGGATCAAGTTCTAATTCCTTTTTTACAAGGCCTTTGTGACCCAGCTTTTCCAGCATCTCCAGCTTTGTCTATTGGTTTTTGCCCCTCACACTGTCTTATCCAGCCATAACTCAGCACCTTGAGCCCGCCATGCGCTCTCATCCCTAGGTGTCATCCATGCCAGCCTCGCTGCCTCATCTGGCTAACTCCTGGTTCATTCTCCAGTCCCCACTGCAATGCCCGTCCCTGTTCTTTGCTGCCATTTGCTCCCTCACAACACTGCCTGTCCCCTGCACTAGATTGTTGGTCCTAGAGAGAAGGGCTGTGTTTGCCTTGCTACTGCTGCATCTCCAATACCTGGCACAGTGCCTGGCATGAAGTATCTGCTACTACTTGTCAACTGCATGAATGAATTATTATGCTAATTTCTCAAGAGTAAGGTGGGTAGTTGTTCAGAGTAAGAAAGTGCATGTGATAGGGGCTTTTTATCTAGAAAATGTATAATAAAACTAACAATTTTAATACCCTGATGCTTTTGTACCTTTCTTCCTAACATCTCAGAACTTGAAGTTTGAAGCTAATACTTAATTTCCTGTTGAATTTTGGGAACTGTTTACTGAATGGGTAATATGCACACCCAAATTAATTCCTTTTATGCTTGGGATAATCATTCGAACTCATGCGATTGGTTGCAGATAGAATCCGTGCTGGCCCCAGAGAGATCTCTTGAACTTGGGGTCACATTGAAGCCAAAATATTACCTCTAATTCAGAGCACATCTGAAGTGCTTTCAGATGTGTGCTGTTGACACGCTTTCCTGGGAGAGGGACTGCGTTAGAGGCCTGTCTGCCATGTTTCCGCAGGCTGTTTGGGGGCTTGGTGCTGGACATCAAGCGGAAGGCCCCCTGGTACTGGAGCGACTACCGGGATGCACTCAGCTTACAGTGTTTGGCCTCCTTTCTGTTCCTGTACTGTGCCTGCATGTCACCTGTCATCACCTTTGGGGGATTGCTCGGAGAAGCCACTGAGGGGCGCATAGTAAGAACTTTTAACCACTTCTCATGGTCCCAAACAAGAGTAAAAATTTTATGATGGCAGCCAAGTCCACTGCGGGGGGAAAGTTCCCTGGGCGAGGACTGAGGAGATTGGATTCTTCCTACTGAATTACTGTGGTCTTCTGACCTCATGCCAGCCAGCAGCACAGCTCTCCCTTTAGAACAGACCCTCTTCTGCTTGAATATCAATTTCAGTAACTGATTGCCCAGTTGCATTGCCCATTGCCCCAAGGATGGAAAATGATATATCAATGTCATATGCAAATAAGATTTAAGGTGACTCTGTATGACAGCCTGTAGTGTGAATGGTATCATTGTGCTTTTCTATGTATATTTATAAATACTGAATTGAGTCATGCAGAACAGGACTTAGTTAAGGAATCACATGTGGATGGATTTGGGCACCTGAATTATCAAAGTGGTATCCATTTACAGGAGGATTAGACTGTGTACACATCACTCTTGCTAAGACGAAATGCAAGCAAATGGCTTGTCAGGCACACCGGAGTGCTGAGTTGGGGCTGCACATAAGCCTGCATCACTCACTGCAGACGGGCTGTGGACTCAGGGATAATCTTTTCTTCCCCTCTCAGAGTGCAATTGAATCCTTGTTTGGAGCCTCCATGACTGGGATTGCCTATTCCTTGTTTGCCGGACAGGCTCTCACCATCCTTGGAAGTACTGGGCCAGTGCTTGTGTTTGAAAAGATTTTGTTCAAATTCTGCAAGTAAGACATTTGGTTTTCTGAAAACTCTATCTGGATGTGTTAGTGTGCTGTTAGGATTGAATGTCAGGGTCCTAGGTGAGTGTAAGTAGGCAAAGAGCATTGTTTGGTCTGTTGCCCTGCCCCCAGGTAGGACCATGCCTAAAATAGCAGATCTCTTGGCCTTAAAGAGCTTTATTAATGTCCTTCAACCACTATTGAAGTCTTGACTTTTTATCTTTAAAAACACTTTCCCTAGCTAATCCAAACTCCTCCATTTCCATTTCCAGTCCATTTTTTTTATTTTATTACTTTTTATTGGAGTAGGGTTGCTTTACACTGTTGTGTTAGCCTTCACTGCACAACAAAATGAATCAGCCATGCGCATACAGATACCCGCTCCCTTTTGGACTTCCCTCCCATTTAGGTTACCACAGTGCATTAGGTAGAGTTCCCTGTGCTATACAGTATGTCCACAAGGGCCAGCTCTTTTTTCTTAACTGCAAGAATAGGATCTTAATCACGTCGGGCAGTGATGGCAGAAGTGTGTGGCGGACAGCTTCCACCTCCTCCACTGTCTCTGTCCTTGCTGTGGCAAATACCACCCATAAAGCAAATCTTTGTCATGCCATCCCAGGGCAGCCTTCAGGAGTGAAGTGCAGTCAGAATTAGGGACAAACTGGGTTGCAGTACTGGAAGTGATAATAAGAGATGAACTAACCACGTTTCTGACCCTTTGCCTCCAATGCAATGGGTCAGAATGTAATGCCATCCACCCCTGATTTTTGATGAACTTTGGTTTTGTTTCAGAGACTATGCTCTTTCATACCTCTCCCTGCGAGCTTGTATCGGACTGTGGACCGCCTTCCTGTGTATTGTCCTTGTGGCAACTGACGCCAGTTCCCTTGTCTGCTACATTACCCGCTTCACTGAAGAAGCGTTTGCCTCCCTGATTTGCATTATTTTCATCTATGAAGCAATAGAAAAGCTGATTCACCTGGCAGAGACCTACCCCATCCACATGCACAGTCAGCTGGACCACCTTAGCCTGTATTAGTAAGTATGCTTTCTGCTTCTTCTTTTTTTAAAAAATAAAGTGAAGGACCTGAGTATAATGGCTGAGCTAGTGTGCCAGGCAGTACTTGTAGCTTCTGTTAAGGAAGTGTCTTGGCCCTCTGGGAAACAGAGCTCAGACATGACGTGGAGACCTGGGGGCCTGCCAGAGGAGAACAGTCAAAAGTGATGAAGGGGAAGATGGATTAAGAGTGAACCTCAGAGGGGACTTGAGAAATGCTTTCCAGGGCATGTCTTTTGGGTCCAGGCATTAAGACAAAAGTAGGCTGCAAATGTAGCAGGGAGAATTCAAGTTAGTTGTTGGGAAGAACTTCTTTTGCAAGGACTTGTGAGGCCTTGGACCACATCAAGATCTCTCTAAGTATATATAGGCTACTCTTACGCATTATCAGGTAGAGAATATTAATAATTCCTTACAGATCCACAGGTCTCTTACTCTGTATGCTAAAGATCTAGAAATCTACTTATTTACCTAGATTTCAACTCAAGAGATTGTATTTTGTTCGGTTATTCAGTATGGTTTGGAGCATTTGGAAAAGGGACAGAGTATTTGGCTGTGTTTTCAACCCTCTAGGAGAGTCTGGTCCTATAAACATTTCTTCTCTGGAATAGTCTTCTCCAAATTATGATTAAATAGAATTCTCCTCATCCTTTAGCTTTGAACATCAAGTTCCCTCCTTCTGGCTGTACCATTCTGATGTGGAAGGTCTGGTTGTGAAGTGAACAATGTCAATGTGAAACTGCCTGAGCAGAAGGCACACTGCATGGAAGTGCCTGCCAGCCAGCCACAGATACACTTTTCTAGATTCTAGCTATCCTTTCATTCACCCTTTAAAAATCAGGACTCATAAAACATGCATTAGAATTTAAAAATGATTTTATTACAGAATAATCACCATTAGGGAGTATAATCTTTGAAGCTAGTGGATTGCCCATTGGCATTGGAGTAAGGTTCATTCTTTGACCTTTTTTAATCATTCATTTATTCATTCATTTAACAAATATTTGTTGAGCACCTACTCTGTGCCAGGCACTGTTTAGGCTCTGGAAACATAACGGTGAACATGACAGACAAAGGATCTACCCTCATGAGGCTATATTCTAGTGGGAGAAGACAGACAAAAGTGACCAGCTCTGGACTGAGTAGACTTTGAATCTGGATACTGTAGTTCTTTGTTAATAAAGCTCAAGATGGTATTTTTCTTATATTTCCATTGCATTCCACTGTCGATTCATATAGAGCTGATATGAAGCTAGAACTCCCCAACTCTTCAAGTGATTTTATGTTAATATGTGTGGAACTGATTTTTTAAATAGACTTAATTTAAAAAAAATAATAAATTTATTTATTTAGGCTGCATTGGTTTTTTTTTTTTAACATTTTTATTGGAGTATAATTGCTTTACAGCAGTGTGTTAGTTTCTGCTTTATAACAAAGTGAATCAGTTATACATATACATATATCCCCATATCTCCTTGCTCTTGAGTCTCACTCCCTATCCCACCCTTCTAGCTGGTCACAAAGCACTGAGCTGCCCTCCCTGTGCTACGCGACTGCTTCCCACTAGCTATCTATTTTACATTTGGTAATGTATATATGTCCATATATACACTACCGCTCTCTCACTTTGTCCCAGCTTACCCTCCCCCCTCCTGGTGTCCTCAAGTCCATTCTCTAGTAGGTCTGCGTCTTTATACCCATCTTGCCCCTAGGTTCTTCATGACCATTTTTTTTTTTAAGATTCCATATATATGTGTTAGCGTATGGTATTTGTTTTTCTCTTTCTGACTGACTTCACTCTGTATGACAGACTCTAGGTCCATCCACCTCACTACAAATAACTCAATTTCGTTTCTTTTTATGGCTGAGTAATATTCCATTGTATATATGTGCCACATCTTCTTTATCCAGTCATCTGTTGATGGACACTTAGGTTGCTTCCAGTCCTGGCTGTTGTAAGTAGAGCTGCAATGAACATTGTAGTACATGACTCTTCTTGAATTATGGTTTTCTCAGGGTATATGCCCAGTAGTGGGATTGCTGGGTCGTATGGTAGTTCTATTTTTAGGTTTTAAGGAACCTCCATACTGTTCTCCATAGTGGCTGTATCAATTTACATTCCCACCAACAGTGTATGAGGGGTTCCCTTCTCTCCACACTCTCTCCAGCATTTATTGTTTGTAGATTTTTGATGATGGCCATCCTGACCGGTGTGAGGTGATACCTCACTGTAGTTTTGATTTGCATTTCTCTAACGATTAGTGATGTTGAGCATCCTTTCATGTGTTTGTTGGCAATTTGTATATCTTCTATGGAGAAATGTCTATTTAGGTCTTCTGCCCATTTTTGGATTGGGTTGTTTTTTTTTTTGATATTGAGCTGCATGAGCTGCTTGTAAATTTTGGAGATTAATCCTTTGTCTGTCGCTTCATTTGCAAAAATTTTCTCCCATTCTGAGGGTTGTCTTTTCGTCTTGTTTATGGTTTCCTTGGCTGTGCAAAAGCTTTTAAGTTTCATTAGGTCCCATTTGTTTATTTTTGTTTTTATTTCCATTTCTCTAGGAGGTGGGTCAAAAAGGATCTTGCTGTGATTTATGTCATAGAGTGTTCTGCCTGTTTTCCTCTAAGAGTTTGATAGTGTCTGGCCTTACATTTAGGTCTTTAATCCTTTTTTTTTTTTTTGCGGTACGCGGGCCTCTCACTGCTGTGGCCTCTCCTGTTGCGGAGCACAGGCTCCGGACGCACAGGCTCAGCGGCCATGGCTCACAGGCCCAGCCGCTCCGCGGCATGTGGGATCTTCCCGGACCGGGGCACGAACCCATGTCCCCTGCATCAGCAGGCAGACTCTCGACCACTGCGCCACCAGGGAAGCCCTCTTTAATCCATTTTGAGTTTATTTTTGTGCAGGGTGTTAGGGAGTGTTCTAATTTCATACTTTTACATGTACCTGTCCAGTTTTCCCAGCACCAGTTATTGAAGAGGCTGTCTTTTCTCCACTGTATATTCTTGCCTCCTTTATCAAAGATAAGGTGACCATATGTGCGTGCGTTTACCTCTGGGCTTTCTATCCTGTTCCATTGATCTATATTTCTGTTTTTGTGCCAGTACCATACTGTCTTGATTACTGTAGCTTTGTAGTATAGTCTGAAGTCTGGGAGCCTGATTCCCCCAGCTCTGTTTTTCTTTCTCAAGATTGCTTTGGCTGTTCGGGGTCTTTTGTGTTTCCATAGCAATTGTGAAATTTTTTGTTCTAGTTCTGTGAAAAATGCCAGTGGTAGTTTGATAGGGATTGCACTGAATCTGTAGATTGCTTTGGGTACTATAGTCATTTTCACAATGTTGATTCTTCCAGTCCAAGAACATGGTATAGCTCTCCATCTATTTGTATCATCTTTAATTTCTTTCATCAGTGTCATAATTTTCCGCATACAGGTCATTTGTCTCCTTAGGTTTATTCCTAGGTATTTTATTCTTTTTGCTGCAATGGTAAATGGGAGTGTTTTCTTTTCTTTTCTTTTCTTTTTTTTTTTGCGGTACACGGGCCTCTCACTGCTGTGGCCTCTCCGATTGCGGAGCACAGGCTCCGGGCGTGCAGGCCCAGCGGCCATGGCTCACGGGCCCAGCCGCTCCGCGGCACATGGGATCCTCCCGGACCACGGCACGAACCCGTGTCCCCTGCATCGGCAGGCGGACTCCCAACCACTGCGCCACCAGGGAAGCCCCTGGGAGTGTTTTCTTAATTTCACTTTCAGATTTTTCATCATTAGTGTATAGGAATGCAAGAGATTTCTGTGTGTTAATTTTGTATCCTGCTACTTTACCAAATTCATTGATTAGCTCTAGTAGTTTTCTGGTAGCATCTTTAGGATTCTCTATGTATAGTATCATGTCATCTGCAAACAGTGACAGCGTTACTTCTTCTTTTCCGATTTGGATTCCTTTTATTTCTTTTTCTTCTCTGATTGCTGTGGCAAAAAATTCCAAAACTATGTTGAATAATGGTGGTGAGAGTGGGCAACCTTGTCTTGTTCCTGATCTTAGTGGAAATGGTTTCAGTTTTTCACCATTGAGGATGATGTTGGCTGTGGGCCTGTCATATATGGCCTTTATTATGTTGAGGTAAGTTCCCTCTATGCCTACTTTCTGGAGAGTTTTTATCGTAAATGGGTGTTGAATTTTGTCGAAAGCTTTCTCTGCATCTATTGAGATGATCATATGGTTTTTCTCCTTCAATTTGTTAATATGGTGTATCACATCGATTGATTTGCATATATTGAAGAATCCTTGCATTCCTGGGATAAACCCCACTTGATCATGGTGTATGATCCTTTTAATGTGCTGTTGGATTCTGTTTGATAGTATTTTATTGAGGATTTTTGCATCTATGTTCATCAGTGACATTGCCCCGTAGTTTTCTTTTTTTGTGACATCTTTGTCTGGTTTTGGTATCAGGGTGATGGTGGGCTTGTAGAATGAGTTTGGGAATGTTCCTCCCTCTGCTGTGTTTTGGAAGAGTTTGAGAAGGATAGGTATTAGCTTTCCTCTAAATGTTTGATAGAATTCTCCTGTGAAGCCATCTGGTCCTGGGCTTTTGTTTGTTGGAAGATTTTAAATCACAGTTTCAATTTCAGTGCTTGTGATTGGTCTGTTTATATTTTCTATTTCTTCCTGGTTCTGTCTTGGAAGGTTGTGCTTTTCTAAGAATTTGTCCATTTCTTCCAGGTTGTCCATGTTATTGGCATATAGTTGCTTGCAGTAATCTCTCATGATCCTTTGTATTTCTGCAGTGTTAGTTGTTACTTCCCCTTTCTCATTTCTAATTCTATTGATTTGAGTCTTCTCCCTTTTTTTCTTGATGAATCTGGCTAATGGTTTATCAATTTTGTTTATCATCTCAAAGAACCAGCTTTTAATTTTATTGATCTTTGCTATCATTTCCTTCATTTCTTTTTCATTTATTTCTGATCTGATCTTTATGATTT